CATGTCGCGTTTGCTCATGTTATGCGGCATGTCCTTGTTGTCCATGCGACGCTTGTCATTTGGACGCCGATCATGCTGGGAATTAGGGAGGATTCCCATAAGTTCTCGAAGATTAGGTGAATCACTTTCCTTACCTTCACTTCATCACGGAGCCGAGCTATATCATTGAATGCATCCACACAGGGAATGTTGTAGTGCTCACCCTCCACTTGGGAGAGGAACTTGTACCAGCCGTCGACGGGCTCCTTCTGCAATTCCTCGAGGCTGAACGAGAACGAGCCCATGAAGTCGTTGCGAGAAGTCCGATCCCAATCCCAGACCTCGATGAGCAACCGCTTGTCCCGATCCTGCGGTTGCAATTCACTAGAATTCACAAAATAAAATTATTAACATTTGGATAAAATATAAACCTTTTGCATAGTTACAAAGTTAAGGTCTCATTGAAGACCGGATTGAGGTTCTTCTGAATGGTCTTGGTCTTCTTTTTGGTGCGTCCCGATCGATCCGGATGCATTTGCACTGCGACATAGGGATCGCTGAACCCGTTGGTGTCCATGGGAATAAGGTTGGCCGCCTCCTTGACTGCAGTGGAACATATCCTCAAACCTTTGCTTTAGTCAAGTCCCCCGAATTACTCACTGTCCACTTTCAGGTTGTTGCCCTTCAGCTCCACATACAGCAGTAGCTTGCCACGCACCTCACTTATGTCCGCTCCACACATGGGCGGCACCGTCTCCTGGCACGAGTGGTGCACATTGAGGTTGCAATCTGAAGCGTTTGGGTAAATAGCTTGAGAGGAACGGGGCTGGGGCTCATCTCACAACTCACTCTCGCACTTGACGCCCTGATGGGCCACTCCGTGGAGGAGCAGGCCGCACTCGTCGCAGAATGTGGGCGTGGTGTAGGTGGTCGAGATCCAGCCGTGCTTCACCTTGGCACAGTCCGCATCGAAGTCCGTGTCCTTTCCAGGACACTTGAACACCACAAACTTGCAGCACTTCTGATGGATGTTGAAGCGGCACTCTGCGGCGGCACAAATTGCAAATGCAGTAAGTTCTTGGGTACATAAATGGCTTAAATTCGTGTCACAGAAAGCCCTTTTCAAAATTGTAACTTAATAAAATGTACAATAGTACATGTACTTATGGTCAGAGGACCTTCTGTGACATCTGGATTTTGCATATTCCATTTGGAACTCTGAAACCTACCCTCGCACTGAAAACCTTGCTTGCCAAAGCCCCTAATCCCGGCACGAATCCGCGAGTGCAACAATGCGAAACGGAAGAACAGCAAAAATAAAGAAGGGAAAAAAAAAGGCGGAAAGTGTGTCAGATACGAAAGCACTAATTAAATTAGCCATGGAGGGCGTGAAAATGGAAAACAAAAATCGAAATCGGAGTTCCTCACCAGATGAAATCCTTGCAGTGGCCGCAGTAAGTCGGATTCTTGAAGAATCTCACTCCGAACCGATGGCCATTGACCATCTCGAGACCCTTGCGCTTCATGGCGCCCTTCCTCAATCGATTCTTCATGTAGTTGACGATGTTCGCCTCGCCAGTGATCTCTAGAAGATTTCCGGGGCCTTTGCCCGCCGCCCCAGCTCCTGCAGCTCCCCCTGCTCCCCCTGCTCCTGCTCCACCTGATCCTGCTGCTCCTGCTGCTCCTGCTCCACCTGATTTTGCCGGAGCACTTGGTGCCGAGGATGGGAGCACAGTGGCTCCCGGAGTGGCGACAGCAGCGGCAGCCATCTCGGTACAAACTCAATGCGGGTAAACTACAAAAAAGCTGACTCAGACTGCGCGCTTTCGAGCCCGTTGAACAACTGACCCGGTCGGTCAGGTGGAGACCCCAAAAAAGCCACCAGGCAGCCAACAAAGTGCGCACACAAAGTTGAAGACGGGAAAATGACTGAGGTGTGGTTTAAGAAGGCGCAAACATTCCAGAAAGTGTGAAGGCAAAAATACCCTACAAAAAAAAACATAAATAAATAAATGCAGGAGTGCAAAATAAATATTTGTATACAAATTCCACGGAATATTGCATATAGATATCACATAAATTTTTTGAACACCTAAAAAAGGTTTGATTGCTTTAGAGAGAATGTGAATTTTACTTAAAAGTCAACAATTTTTTAAATAGAAAATACGGAAACTATTTGCAAAAACCGTGACAACAAAATATGAACAAAAAATGAAAACAACAATTTCAGCATTGCTAATTTGAAGTTGAATAAATGAAAAAATTATTTACCCAAATTAATATTTTCTATCAAATATTTATGCAACACTTAAGTAAATTTAATTATATTATTAAACCCACTCACAAGAGTTCAAACATGCAATTATAAAATTTTTTCATACATTTAAATTATCAATTAGCAAGTGCTCGATTATTAAACCATCAAGCATAATTTCATTTTGGCTTAATTAGTGAGAGAAATTTGAATCAAATGCGTCGTTAATTGGACTGTAAAATATAGAAGGATTTTGGCTTGTATTTGTATGATAATCAACCTAAATAATACTTTATAACTAATAAAATGTAAATCATTCATTTAAAATGGCAACCTAAGTCCGCCCCTTGTTACCTTTTATTATTTGCGTCAATCCACTTGCACAATAATGATTGAAAAGAAGTGCCTTGCCCCATTGTGCCCAACCGTCCCCTTAGATCTTGCGTAAACAGATAGCCCCAGGCCCTTCGGAGTAATCAGCACTTGTCATGCCTTGTTCCTCGCTGATTCAGTTAGTAATGCCCCTTGCACAATTGTCTCCCAGGGCAACCCACTCGGCGGCAGGCTGTCAATCGAACGGAGGACCAAGGAATGCAAACTGAGGACTGAGGGCCGAGGGACCCTTACCAGCGATAAGTGTTAACAGTTTGGGGAAGGTCAAGAAGGTGCTTACCTGGCCAGAAGACAAACATAATCATCGTCAGTGGCATCGCTTTGGCCGACTGCAGTAGTGACGTCAATGCACAAAGGGCGGAAAAGTGGGAGGGGCGGGGGCTTTCTTGGGAAAATTGTGATGTGCGGAAGCTTGTGTGACTATTGTCGATTGTGTATTTATACACTGTGGCAGCTCTGATTAATTTATGCAATTGCTGGCGAGGCTTGTTTCCAGTTAGCGCCAACCCCCCTGCTCGCCGCCCCTGAAACCCAAACCCAGCTGGCCTTTAGTGCAGGGCTAAAAATAGAAATAGAAAACGCAGAATTGAGCACAAAGTGCACACAGGACACAGAAGGACATACACTGCTGGCAAGGCAAACAAACAGAAAGCGGTGAGCTGAAATCCAAGCCGAAACAACTCAAAACGCTACGAAGATGAAATGGGTTGGAAAATGCATTAAAGCGGAAATGGAAGCGCTTTGTCAGGCAAAAATGTCATTAGAGGGGGTCCAAGTCAAAGTATCTGACTACTGCAATTGCAACTGCAGCGGCACGCGTATCTGTATCTCAGAAGTGCACTCAGTGAGTCGGCAAATATGCACTCGGAGATTGCCCAGAACTACTGCACACCTGTCGGTCGAAAGGGATTGCGACTGGGATTGGGATTGGGGCTGGAGATGGGTGGAATTGCAAATAGATTCCGTTGCCGTGGCAGCTTTGGGTTTCAATTTACGTCATCATTTCCATGGCGTCGCCAAACAATTTTCCCCTCTCGGCCATTTCACAAAAGCAGGCCAAGCCACAAAAAGAGCCAGAGAGCCGGCTCTCCGCGTATAACACCTTTTGTTTGGCTTTCCTTCCAGTTATTTACTTTGGCTTTACTTTGGTTTCGTTTGCTTTTGGCCTAGGCTTTGCCCCCCGCCATTTTAGCATTTGGCAGTTCCGCCTGGCTACTTGTTAGCGGCCTGAGTTGTCTTTGACCTGCGCCCTCAACACCTATTGATCTGCAGCGCACCTGTCGAGAGTCACTAACTGTATAACGACCCCTGAAACGGGGCTTCAATGATCGTGACTTGGCTAAAGTCTAGATGCTGAGTGATCTCAAAAACAGAACAATGTATATATATAGTTTATTTGCATGTCTACATAAGATTAAATTGATTTACATTATGAACGCCAATAGTTCTTATTAGTTTATTTTAAACATAAATAAAAACTTCAAGTTACTTTCTTTGAACATTTTAAATTTCCAAATAAAAAGTACATTAAATATTGTTAGTATTAACATGTAATTCAGATTCAAGAAATCCAATTTGTATTGAACAAAAATATTTAAATTATTTAAAATGCTTTTAAAAATGAATTATCCTGAATTCTGGAACAAACCGAACCGCTTATATATGTATTACCCAATAAAAGCAAATTAAAAGTATAAACAATCACAAATTTCAAACAATAAGGTTTCGGCAAAAACAAACAATTCTAAAAAATATAAAATGAAATTAACACGCAAAATGGGACATTAGAAAATATAAATAACATTTAAATAACCTGCAAATTGTTTATAAAATCACTATAAATGTCTATTAGGTTGCAAGTTGTATCTTTTTAATGCAAACATTCGCCTAAAAGCAAATAGTACAAACACGTATATCGCAGTAAAAACCGCAGAAATTAGTCGAACAAGGGGAAATGGCCAACCATAATTAACAGTGGCTCATAAAGTTGAACGAACACAATTGTGCGAGCGGACAAAACCGCAACAAAACGGCAAACTGGACGGTGTCCATTGCGAAAGTGGGGATGAGCTGGCAAAAGGGCCCCTAACTTTGTGATTTGTTTATACGGCTCTCAGCAGTGTCATGACGTTTGCCTTTGGCCCTGTGATGGGAGAGAGCGAGGAAATTAAATAGACAAAGTGGCGGACTGAACAACAAATTGGCAACATGCTGAGGGAGGCGGAGTACGGGTCGTATACGCAATCTGTTATACCAAAAAGTCGCCGGCAATTGGCGAAGAGCGCCTGCGCCGTCCAGCCAGTGGGAAAACTATCCCAAAAAACGGCTCTGGAAAATCCTTGCAGCCAGTCGCACTCGCAGGCGCTACGGGGAAGGTTGTTCAGTACGGCGGCACACGCGGCGTATACGTAACGTGGAAAAGGACAGGATTCTTTCGTGAGTCGAGTGAAGGTGCACGGCCACGATTTGCGAAACATGGTGGCCCCTGAGTAGTTGTTGATCAATTAGAACCCCTCACCACCCAACCGACTCACCTGTTTTTCGGGTCAAAGTTGTTTGATTTCGTGCAAAAACAGTTGGCGTAAACAAAACGTGTCCAAGCACTGGAAGAGTCATCTATCGCTCTGCCTGGAAATTGCGTCAGGCTCACGCAGCTTCCATTATGGTTTCGTGGGAAACTGGCCAAGCTGCTCTGCGACATTCACCGTTCTGAGTTGGCCCCAAGTGCACGTGGGCCAGCTTTCAGTTTCGGTGCCATTTTCACCCCAAGTGCCAGGAGCAGACTTGGAGTTAGCCATAAATAAACCCATAAGGCAGCTTGTAATCAGCCAGCCAATTTAGCCGAGCCCCAAAGTGAGTGTCGAGCCCTGTGATTCGCCTTTTGTGAAACTTTCTACCGTGTAATTGAAATTAATGATCATTGTGCGGTTGACTCTGTAATTCCGGTTTCGCTGTTCGAAAATAAACGTAATGCCTTGCATTGAATTATAAAGGAACCCCGACACTTTGCTTTATTAAAGTGTCACTCTATAGGGACAAAAATATCACTCAAAGTTTGGCCGAATTCATCTCAGAAATTGATGTGTGTCAGCCAGGTGTGAAATATTGTCCAGGGAAAAGCCAATGTTCTCCTTCGAGAATCAAGTGAGAGCAGCTCGGATTTTTTTATTTATTTATACGTTTAAAACAATGAAACAATTGGTATGAGCGAATTTGAACGAATATATTATGTATGTTTTTTTTGTTTCGTTTTTACTTTTAATGCGGTATTTGCTTTTATATATTATATTTTCGCTTTGTCATTTAACATTGCCAAAATTGTTCGTTCTTTTTTAACTCGGAGGTTCTTAAGTGCAAGTTAGAAAGCTTCAATTTAATGAAAAATAAATGCAGCCTTTCATGTTTTTAGTCTACAAATGTGTATTGTTTTTTTTCATTTTTCCCCCCTTGGGATACCATAAAAAATGGCTTAATCAGAACACCCGTTTGCAGCTAGTTTGGCAATCATCGAACTCCCTTTCCAGAATGCAAAATTGATTGCAGCGCATTACGAGATATTTAAGGAACAGAAAACAGCATGCGAAGGAAAAAGAAAAGTGAAATGAAAGCGGCAAGAAACCAAACTCGACTCTAGTGCCAATTGTGCCGTGCGAAATGCAAAATGCGAAATGCTCCTAGTGCCGTGTTGTTCGTGTCCATGTTGTGATTACATAATGAGACGCTGCTGAAAGTCAAAGTCAAAGGAGAAGCAGTCCCAGTGGCCGAGCCAAGGGCCAAGTGTGTGAAAGCCAGCCAGCAATATCTCAACGCGCCGCGAGAAACCAAGCCGAAGTAAGGGAGGCCAGAAGGACGAGCATCCTTATTCACCCGCAGGACTCCGAGGAGCGAGAGCAGCCGGAGGATGCCCTTCGGCCGCAAGTCCCCGCTGGAGGCCCTCGCCCTCCCCGGCGTCATGCTCGCCTACAAGTACAGCCAGTTCCGCCAGCGCCGCCGGGAAGCCGCCAGCCGACGGGTCACCGAGCGCGAACTCTCGGCGCTGCACCATAAAATCGTGAGTACAACTTGGGGCATAGGAAAACAAAGTCATTTCTCCCTTTTGAAGCGGGCGATTTGGGCCCCCGAAAAGGATTTACGATTAGCATTAGAAGAGGGCCTTTTACGATGTCTATAACTTCTGGAGATACAATTATTTTACGATGTCTGTAACTTCGGGAGATATAATTAATTCTGCCGGCAGATAGTTGTGTTATACAAATGGGAAAAATCTAGTAAAGACAAAAGAGAGCTCTAAAAAGAGCATATTGTAACCCAAACCGAGTATTATTATAACTAATGGTTCGTTAATCACTTGTAAAAGTTTTTAATATTTTACCAAATATACACAAACAAATGTTTTTCTTCATTAAATCTTATTGGAAATTATTTATGCTCCGTTTTAAAACCTTACTTTTATTGGTAGGAGCTACAAAATAAAATTATCCCGAATAAAAATATGACAGAAAAAATACTTTTGTACACATTATCATGGGATTTTTTATAGGAAAGTCAGGGTATTTCAAAGTTCGTTCTCCATAAATGTTCTTTAATTTTTGTTTATGTACAAGTTTGGTATTTTGGCTTCTTCGCCTTCGCCTGCGACTCATAAAACGTAACGCAATAAAAGAAGCGAAACGGGAAGAAAGGAAGAAAGAGGCGGACGTTTATCAAAGACCGGCGAAAGGCGGTCGAAAGTCGGGCATCATTAGCCGCGTTTGGCAGTCCCTAAAAAAGCACACAGCTCTTGAGCCTTTTTAAAGTGCCGCTCTTCCTGCTTCTCTGTTTGTTTTTGACCCTGCCTCTCACATTTACAGCTGGCAAATAGTTTTAAAAATAAAAGGCACACACAGGCCATCAAACACATCAAAACAAGGTGAGGCCCGGCTCAGCTTATGTAGCTCGGTTTGTCATGGCCCGCAAAAGTAGGCAATAAAAAACACCATAACTTGTACGGTAGTTCACATGTGTGTGTCAGTCTAAACTTATTTGCATTTTAAGGGTCAATAAAAAGTGTACGAGGAAGCAGGAAGCCAGAGAAGAAAAAGTTTTGGAATCAAGATTTCTCTGGCCATTTGCCGCAACTTTTGGCTATTTTTATGAGATACATACTTTGATCTTGGCCACGAAACGAGCAATAAGAAAGGTTATTGATACAGTTCCAGTCGTTGATAAATATAAAGTATATTTTTTTAGATATATTTGTTTTCTAATTACCTATCCTCCTTATGCAAAATCTTTGATACACTTTTTTTAAACATTGGAATAGTTATGCACATAATTAAAAAGCCCGTAGAACCACTGAATTAATAGTTAGCAAGTCGTTTCGTACACAAGCCATATCCACAGTAATATAGTGAAAAACATTAAGTTATAAAGCCCAGTTCATTTGCATTTGCTTGTGGACCGAAATGTGCAACGCGGCCGACTGCAAAGTGCCAAGTTCACTTGGGATTTTACGAGTCTTGTTTGAAATTTATGAGTTTCAAAGCCATAGACAGCCACGCCCTCTTGCCAAACACACTCGCACTCGGCCGCACACACACATCCACAATCTCTTGTCCGCACTTGGGCACTTATATAAGAGGAGCAGCAGCAACAACAATCGCAAAGTGCACAAACAGGAAAAAAGTGCCGCCAGTAGTGAACTGGGCTCAACTGCTTTGCATAAAATCTGACGCGTGACTGTAATTTCTCAACGACGACCTTGAAAAGCAGCTCACACACGCTGGCACACGCACACCAATACCCCGACACATTAGCTAAAATGGCCAAATACACGGAAAATGCTTTTATCCAACATTAAAATTCACAAAAGCCTGGCCAGACTGCCTTTCAAAAAATGCTTTTACAATTAAATGGCCCTTGGTTGGTAATTTCGCTTACACTTTTAGATGGATGAACAGGGAATTGGGGATTCTGACTCAGACTAATTTCACAGAACTTAGTTTTAAACAAAAACTACCAAAATATTTGTATGCATTTTTTATGTCTTCATGTGTAGCAAAATTAAAAAGAATTACAATCGGGAGATTTCCCAATAATAAATATTCAGAGTCTTTAAGGGATCCTTTAACAAAATGGACTACAAATTCCTGACCGATAATTTGGAATGAAAAACAGTTAGTGTATTTAACTAAGCAAATTAAACTTGCAACTGTCTAAATGATAATGTAGTATGGAAAGGCGATTTATTTGTTTAACCGATCTAACCGACTAACACACTCTAATGACGCTAAGGAATTGTTGAAAACATTAAGATATAACTTGATTTCTGGCTATTATAAAATACGACGATAACCGTTACCAAATAGAATCAAATTGTTAAGCTACGATATCCATTACCAATTGAATTATTCCGCCTTTACCATTAAATGCATATAAGACAGTTTCTTTCGTCCAACTAAGACAAGTGGATTTATCAACATCCGAAATGAAGTTACTACTTGCTTTTCTGGCCATTTTGTGTATTAAAATGTGGAGAGAAGCGCTTCCCCTACGAAAGGCGGAAAACCTTTAATAAATTTTGTTTCACCTTATAATACATTGTTTGCCATTTATGGTTTGGTATATATATAAAGCTGTTATTGAAGAATATTACATATAATTATGTGTCTTGTAAGATGATGGGCTTCTTCACAAACTGAGTGAAAAGCGAAAATTTGTTATATAGGATTTTGTTTTTACACGTTCAAGGCCAGATCTTCACATTTTGAACTTAAAAGTAAAGCGCAGATCCGGAAACGTACACCAATATAAATCGAAATTCGACGGGTTAGGCCGAATAAGCCACAGATCCTGGTCATAAACATGGCGCAGAAGAACCTGACACATAGCGCACAAGTACTCCAGCTGAGCCAAGCTAAGCCCATGTAATCCCGCCGAGAGCAGGACCCCGCACCCATACACACACACCCACAGGCGAGCTCACCCACACAACGACACCACACGCACACTTGGTGTCGTTTCGCAATCCCCAAAAGTATGCAGCGACAAAATTGTCATTTACTTCGTGCTGAGAGAAACGGAATAGAGGGCCTAAAACGCGATATGTTATTAATGCAAATACGCATAATATATAACAAGCTGATTAGCTGAGCGCAAGGGGAATAGAGCTGGAAATGAGCCGAAAAATGGGAATGGGCTGGAGCTGACAATCCTTTCGGCGGATAAAAGGAAAACGCTGTCAAAACTAACCTCACCTCGAAAAAAGGTCGCGTGACTATCCAACATCAGCCCGAAAGAACACAAAAACCGAAAAGCCCGGAGCGAGACCTCAAAGAAGGACCTCTAACTGGACATTTTCGGTCAGGCAATAGAAATAAAATTTATAATTTACTTTGCAGAAAGGACAGCGGGCGGAAGTTGTCACCTGGCGTGGCATTGGAAAAAGGTGCAAATTAATGAAGCCCCAGTCTGCGGCAAAGGTCAAGCCATGCCCTTTGCCTGGCATTCTCCCCCTTTTTTTTTGAGCCTAAATTGAAATGTAGGCAAGCTGATACATGATTATTAGCTGCTGCAGTTCCTGCAGTCGAGTGTCCTTTGCATTTCCCTCTGTCTCCATCTCACTTGACCTCCCCCCAGCCGCCCCTTGCGCGCCACGCCCCTTTTGGGTCTTTAGCAATAAATGACCGCACAATTTGACTTGGCACTTGCAACGTGCACACAAAAATTTGGAAAAAAATCCAGCTTAGTCATCGAAATGCCAACACAGTTGGCCCAGACTGGCTTTGGGCTTGGTTTTGGTCTTTTGGTTCCCTTTGAGCTTCTTTCTGAGTTGCCTTGGCATTGGCTGGGGTTTTCGACCAACAGCTGAAAGTTGTGGAGCTATTCGGATCTAACAAAATGCATACCAAACAACTTACACAGAAAATAAATGCCTAAGCAATCAAAGAAAAACTAGATAAGTGTAGAATTTTAAATCAAATGTATATCTTGATTTTGAAGTCATTGTATTTTCCGTTAATGTAATAAGTAGGTTTATAGGGTTTTTTATAGGTTTGCAGGCTCAGATAAAAAGCTTAAGACTTTAAACTTTCGCAATAGTATTTTTTTATGTGTAAGCGGATCAAGTTTGTTAACGATTCCAGGTTGGTTTATAAAAAAATCATTTTTTTCGCTTTTTTACATTATGATTATTTCCGAAAAAACGAAAATTTTCAGCTGTGAATGCAGATTGATTCCAAATTTTATAACGAATTCAACGAGGTGTGACATTCCAACATGTGACCATTATTTCCAAGGGTTTTGATCAAAAAACAGAAATAAAAGTTGATTTTTACGGATCCCCGGATGTTGGCATTTTTGATAAGGCATTGGCATTTTATTTTACATCATCCATATTTGCCAAAAATCGTCAGATTTGAAATTTTTTAGCTGTGAATGCCATCCGATTGGAAATTTTATAACGAATTCAACGAGGTGTGACATTCCAACATGTGACCATTATTTCCAAGGGTTTTGATCAAAAAACAGAAATAAAAGTGGGTTTTTCCGGATCTCCGGATTTTGTCATTTTTGCAGAAAATCGACTAAAATTAAGTTTTTGAGCTGTGAATGCCAATTATTTTCCAGGGTTTTGATCAATAAACCGAAATAATTTGTTATGCTGACACTAAGGTAAACAGTTTTCTATTTGGCTTACATAAATTGGTGGTATATGGAATAGTAAGAAAACTTTTTAGTTAAAATAAAAGGGTATCTGAAAGTAAGTCCGATAAATGTTCTCTCTCTCTTGCTGTTCTATTGTGGTCAGCAGCACAAATATTTGGCATTGCATTTTGCCACCCGCGCGGTGGAATCGTCCGACCATAAATCAGACACAAAAAGCATTTGAAAGTAATTCCATTTTGAGTGCCGCTTGCAGTGTGCTCGACATAGCGCCTTGGGTGTCGTTCGGATCAGTTTACCCTGCGCTAAGCCAGCGCCAATCAGAAGCTGTTACTGCCACCTGCCACTTTCCACTCCACCACCACCTTCCCCTCCGTCACACTGGAAATAAATCATTAAGATCGGGCA